TTTCCTATATTTCTTATGGGAAAATTTGTTTGGTATACGTCCACGGTCCTAGAACGGATTAAGGACATATACCGAGGTACCACTGTATTTAATGCAGAATTATTTATGAAGTGCTTAAAAGCAACCTGTTTCTTTAAACATTAGAAAGTCATATCTGGATTTGCTCTTCTGAATAATTTATAATTATTTTATTATTTTTATTATCACACTGGCCGATTCCCACCAAGGCAGGGTGGCCCAAAAAAGAAAAACTTTCACCATCATTCACTCCATCACTGTCTTGCCAGAAGGGTGCTTTACACTACAGTTTTTAAACTGCAACATTAACACCCCTCCTTCAGAGTGCAGGCACTGTACTTCCCATCTCCAGGACTCAAGTCCGGCCTGCCGCTTTCCCTGAATCCCTTCATAAATGTTGCTTTGCTCACACTCCAACAGCACGTCAAGTATTAAAAACCATTTGTCTCCATTCACTCCTATCAAACACGCTCACGCATGCCTGCTGGAAGTCCAAGCCCCTCGCACACAAAACCTCCTTTACCCCCTCCCTCCAACCTTTCCTAGGCCGACCCCTACCCCGCCTTCCTTCCACTACAGACTGATACACTCTTGAAGTCATTCTGTTTTGCTCCATTCTCTCTACATGTCCGAACCACCTCAACAACCCTTCCTCAGCCCTCTGGACAACAGTTTTGGTAATCCCGCACCTCCTCCTAACTTCCAAACTACGAATTCTCTGCATTATATTCACACCACACATTGCCCTCAGACATGACATCTCCACTGCCTCCAGCCTTCTCCTCGCTGCAACATTCATCACCCACGCTTCACACCCATATAAGAGCGTTGGTAAAACTATACTCTCATACATTCCCCTCTTTGCCTCCAAGGACAAAGTTCTTTGTCTCCACAGACTCCTAAGTGCACCACTCACTCTTTTTCCCTCATCAATTCTATGATTCACCTCATCTTTCATAGACCCATCCGCTGACACGTCCACTCCCAAATATCTGAATACGTTCACCTCCTCCATACTCTCTCCCTCCAATCTGATATCCAATCTTTCATCACCTAATCTTTTTGTTATCCTCATAACCTTACTCTTTCCTGTATTCACCTTTAATTTTCTTCTTTTGCACACCCTACCAAATTCATCCACCAATCTCTGCAACTTCTCTTCAGAATCTCCCAAGAGCACAGTGTCATCAGCAAAGAGCAGCTGTGACAACTCCCACTTTGTGTGTGATTCTTTATCTTTTAACTCCACGCCTCTTGCCAAGACCCTCGCATTTACTTCTCTTACAACCCCATCTATAAATATATTAAACAACCACGGTGACATCACACATCCTTGTCTAAGGCCTACTTTTACTGGGAAAAAATTTCCCTCTTTCTTACATACTCTAACTTGAGCCTCACTATCCTCGTAAAAACTCTTCACTGCTTCCAGTAACCTACCTCCTACACCATACACTTGCAACATCTGCCACATTGCCCCCCTATCCACCCTGTCATACGCCTTTTCCAAATCCATAAATGCCACAAAGACCTCTTTAGCCTTATCTAAATACTGTTCACTTATATGTTTCACTGTAAACACCTGGTCCACACACCCCCTACCTTTCCTAAAGCCTCCTTGTTCATCTGCTATCCTATTCTCCGTCTTACTCTTAATTCTTTCAATTATAACTCTACCATACACTTTACCAGGTATACTCAACAGACTTATCCCCCTATAATTTTTGCACTCTCTTTTATCCCCTTTGCCTTTATACAAAGGAACTATGCATGCTCTCTGCCAATCCCTAGGTACCTTACCCTCTTCTATACATTTATTAAATAATTGCACCAACCACTCCAAAACTATATCCCCACCTGCTTTTAACATTTCTATCTTTATCCCATCAATCCCGGCTGCCTTACCCCCTTTCATTTTACCTACTGCCTCATGAACTTCCCCCACACTCAGAACTGGCTCTTCCTCACTCCTACAAGATGTTATTCCTCCTTGCCCTATACACGAAATCACAGCTTCCCTATCTTCATTAACATTTAACAATTCCTCAAAATATTCCCTCCATCTTCCCAATACCTCTAACTCTCCTCTCCTATTTTTAACTGACAAATCCATTTGTTCTCTAGGCTTTCTTAACTTGTTAATCTCACTCCAAAACTTTTTCTTATTTTCAACAAAATTTGTTGATAACATCTCACCCACTCTCTCATTTGCTCTCTTTTTACATTGCTTCACCACTCTCTTAACCTCTCTCTTTTTCTCCATATACGTACTCTTCCCTCCTTGCATCTCTTCTACTTTGTAAAAACTTCTCATATGCTAACTTTTTCTCCCTTACTACTCTCTTTACATCATCATTCCACCAATCGCTCCTCTTCCCTCCTGCACCCACTTTCCTGTAACCACAAACTTCTGCTGAACACTCTAACACTACATTTTTAAACCTACCCCATACCTCTTCGACCCCATTGCCTATGCTCTCGTTAGCCCATCTATCCTCCAATAGCTGTTTATATCTTACCCTAACTGCCTCCTCTTTTAGTTTATAAACCTTCACCTCTCTCTTCCCTGATGCTTCTATTCTCCTTGTATCCCATCTACCTTTTACTCTCAGTGTAGCTACAACTAGAAAGTGACTGGTATATCTGTGGCCCCTCTATAAACATGTACATCCTGAAGTCTACTCAACAGTCTTTTATCTACCAATACATAATCCAACAAACTACTGTCATTTCGCCCTACATCATATCTTGTATACTTATTTATCCTCTTTTCTTAAAATATGTATTACCTATAACTAAACCCCTTTCTATACAAAGTTCAATCAAAGGGCTCCCATTATCATTTACACCTGGCACCCCAAACTTACCTACCACACCCTCTCTAAAAGTTTCTCCTACTTTAGCATTCAGGTCCCCTACCACAATTACTCTCTCACTTGGTTCAAAGGCTCCTATACATTCACTTAACATCTCCCAAAATCTCTCTCTCTCCTCTGCATTCCTCTCTTCTCCAGGTGCATACACCTTTTTAAATGACCCACTTCTCACATCCAACCTTATTTTTAATCCACATAATTCTTGAATTTACACATTCATATTCTTTTTTCTCCTTCCATAACTGATCATTTAACATTACTGCTACCCCTTCCTTTGCTCTAACCTCTCAGATACTCCATATTTAATCCCATTTATTTCCCCCCACTGAAACTCTCCTACCCCCTTCAGCTTTTTCGCTTAGGGCCAGGACATCCAACTTCTTTTCATAACATCAGCAACCCATCGTTTCTTGTCATCCGCACTACATCCATGCACATTTAAGCATCCCAGTTTTATAAAGTTTTTCTTCTTCTCTTTTTTAGTAAATGTCTACAGGAGAAGGGGTACTACCCATTGCCCCGGCATTTTAGTCCCTCATACGACCCCGCATGGCTTATGGAGGAAAGATTCTTTTCCACTTCCCCATGGACAATAGAAGAAATAAAGAAGAACAAGAGCTATTTAGGAAACGGAGAAAAACCTAGATGTATGTATATATATATGCATGTGCGTGTCTGTGAAGTGTGACCAAAGTGTAAGTAGGAGTAGCAAGATATCTCTGTTATCTAGCATGTTTATGAGACAGAAAAAGAAACCAGCAATCCTACCATCATGCAAAACAGTTACAGGTTTTTGTTTCACAGTCATCTGGCAGGACGGTAGTACTTCCCTGGGTGGTTGCTGTCTACCAACCTACTACCTATAATTATAATTCAAACTCATAATTACTCTTTGATGTATGGGCTAAATCAAGGGTATGCAATTATAGCTGGTGGCGTATCAGTTGAAAAAACATTTCATGAATACAGTTTGTCAGCAAGTGGGTGAGCAGAGGATTTATCAAGCAGTAGCAAAATTGTTTATCCTTTAGGGAGCTTGCCTTTCCTGCAAGGAACTGGACTAATCCTTCCCTTCTATAGATCAACCCCGAATGCCTCTCATTTCCCTGGCACTATATAACCCCTGAAGGTTTAGCACTTCCCCCTGATTAAAGTAAATACGTACTACACTTAAGAAGTAGAACCAGAATGTTTAATAGAGATATATCTTATATAATTGAAATACAACTTGTTACTTAGAAAGACTTCTTGTGAAGAAAAATACTTGCAGTTGGAATGGTATTTTTGTAGCGGAGATAACAGTTTTATAGTAGAGAATTAGTTTTGTTGTAGCAGAGAAATTTTTTTTTTTTTTTTAAAGACTGAGCTCACATAGTATAGCTGCAGTGCATTTATTGGAGATGGTGAAAATGTTGTATTGATAATGGATATAGTGTACAGACAGCAGGGAAAGTACCTAAATGGCAATATTTTATGAACACTTTAGTAATGATAGATACAATGTACAATGTTTATTTCCAGAAAGTAAAGTGTACAGTTGTGTAAGAATAGGCACCATGTTTAACAGACTTATTGGAATGTCCCTGGTTATGTAGAGCATTTTGTTAAATAATGCTAAATATTTCTCACTGATATCACTCGTGTAATTGTAATGTCACTCCTGTAACTGATGGTACTCGTGTAGCTGGAGTATCACTCATGTAGCTGTGATGTCATTCATGTATGTACTTGAGATTTTACTTGTGTTCCTGAAATGTTGCTTCTGTTACTGTAATGTCACTTGTGTTGCTGTAATGTCATTTGTGTTGCTGTGATGTCACCTGTGTTGCTGTGATGTCACCTGTGTTGCTGTGATGTGCTACTCAGGAGAAGAGGGCCTTAGATCTAGAAAGAATACTTTATTTAGAGATGATATTTGAGCAGTTGAGTTATATATATAATGAACAAGAATTTCATTACAGATGCTGGTACCATATTTAATTATTACTTGTTACTTCCTGCAAGTCTTTTTAATTAATAAACCAGAATCGTATAATGTATTTTTTGTTACTGGCCTCCCTGCTGTACATGCAGCCTTATTATAAGAGGTTTTCTTTGGTTGTGTAGGTTGTTATACGTGTCCATCGACTCCAACTCCGAAGATGTTGGTCCACTTCACAACTACCGCCCAATGGTAGCTGTCTACTACATCATATATATCATCATCATTGCCTTCTTCATGGTTAACATCTTCGTTGGTTTTGTTATCGTCACATTCCAGAGCGAAGGTGAACAAGAGTACAAGAACTGTTGCCTCGATAAAAATCAGGTTTGTAACTCAATGCAGGAGAAATAGATCTTACGAGTGTATTGAATGGAATGTTCTTCAGTTAAAATTTGCTCCAGAACTGGACATCACGTATATTTTGTAATGCTGATTTTTGTAAAAGTGAAATGCATCACCTGGACACATGCTTTTTCTCAAGACTTAGTCACTTGATGGTTGTTTCCCAAGACTTAATTGCTCAGTGGATATTGTTAAGTCTTTTGCCAGTGCTGCATAGTAGATGGAAGGGTGCTGGCATTGTGTCCTACAGTGTATTTCATGATGAGGACATGGGCCACCACAAACTTGTTTCACAAAGACATACAAAATAAATTTCTGGCAGCATTGCTTGTTCTTGTGGAACAAATTCCTGATGCAATAAGACTTGGTTACAGTTCTCCATGTAGCACCCCACTTCCATCTACTACCTGATATTATTATTATAGTATTTATGGGATGTACTAAACTTGCAGGGGTTATACAGCACCTATGAAATGGGAGGTAATCAAGTGTGATCCAAGGAAGGGTTGGGTAGCATCAGTTCCTTGTCTTGATTCCTATACCAGCATCAAGGCACCTTCCTTTAAGGGCCATCTATTACATAGCACTGAAAGGTATACTAAGAAAATACTAAGATGCATTTTGCTTTAACAACCCTTAGTGTTCTCAAAAATATATCCAGCTGGAGAAGTTTTTTCACGATTCATGTATGTATGCAATTAATAACCCTTTGAGAGTCCAAGCCTTAGATCTACGTCATGAGCTCAGCTCACTCAGATAAGCTGTGAGTAGTAAATTTTGGCCTAGATATGAGAGAATGCATTTATGTGGTAAGTGTACACCATATAAAACAAATCCTGCAGCATGCAGTGCACAATGAGAAAAAAAAAAGTGACCGTGTTTTTTGGATTAAAACACCGACTTTGCGGTGTATTTTTGCATGGATTTTACAGTTGTATTTGGGGTTTCTTGGTCTCATTTAATAGAATGGAAGATATATTACTGGTTCTAGTACTGAAAATAACTTGAAATTGAGCTCAAAGCAAAAATGTTCGATTTTTGCTGATGTTCAAGAGCAAACAGATGACATTACACGTCAACTGGTTGGTCTGATATACATTCATGAATGTGCTGACATTATTTATGCACTTATTACAATATTGCATAACAGTAAAGCTTCTATTTTTTGGTATGAATAAAAATTCTTTATGTAAAAAAATAAAAATGGAATTCATATGTAAAGCCTGGAAACGTAACCGATAAACAGACGAAATATTATTTTAGTGCCAAGAATGCTTACATTGTTTATTCTGAACCCTATTTTGAAATTGGAATATTTTGAACTTTGTGTGAAATTGGCCAAATTACCAATTTCTGATCACTTTATTGGGTAGTTGAAATAGTTGTTTGGGCAGTTTCTTGTGCTCAATTGATAAAATAGAAATAATTCTAGTGACATAGCTAAATGTTGGGTCGACTGGAATTATGTAATTGGCCTAAAATAGGAGTCAAAATGGACAAAATCACCGATACATAAATATCGCTGATGCAGCAAAATTCGTAATAGTGTAATATCATCAATTTTCCATCATATTTTGTGCTTTTTGTTTTAATACCTTCAGAAGAAGATTCTTTACCATTTCATAAGAAAAAATAAAATTTTTTGAAAATTCTTGGACCCTCTAAGGATTAATAATATGCAATTATAGTTAAAGGAGTAGATATATGTTTCTGGTCTCTAATCTTCTTTAATTACTTTGGTCATATATATTTTTTAACTTAACATTTTTGTGATACAAACTGTATTACCTCCTCTTGGAACCCATTCCAACTGACTAGTTTTGTTAAGAAGTAATGAGAACCCATTCCAACTCTGTGTTAAGAATTGCTGAGGGCCCATTCCAGCTGTCTGTGTTTGTTAAGAAGTACTCAGGTACTTCATGTTTTCTCTTTTTCCTTTTTTATAACCTGAATTTGTGACCTCTTGTCCACCCAATTATGGTTTGCTTGTTTCCTGTATTAACTTGTGTTTGGTTATCTTATCTCTTCTTTATTTCTCCCCCCCCCCCCCTTTCCTTTTTTTTTAGAGAATTTCCTGTGTCTTCAGTATTTTATCATAATTTATGTTTTTAATCATGAAATTATTTTATTGCAGTTTTGAAGTTTTTCTATTGTGTCTAATTCTTGAGGTTCAGAAAACATACGCTGTGACAATTATGTGTATTACTTTTTTCTGTGTACAGATGTCACTGAATTTAAATTGTAACTCAAATGTTCTCTTCTTAGGTGCTATTTTTCCATATTTTTTAATAGGTGCTACATTAAATGTGTCTTTTTAATAGGAAATAATAGCAAAGAGCTATTATCCCATACCTCTATACAGGTGTCCCTCATTTCATATAGGAGATGGCCCATGTCAGCTGTACTAAGCTCAGGCCATTAACAAAAAATTCTGTAAAATAAAAATCGTAATTGTTTTGCAACCGCACTAGTTGCATATACCATATGTCTATCACTCATAGAAAATTACGGATATAAATGGGGCATGGCATTAGAGCACAGTTGCATAAAGCAGGAAAAAACCTGTACTCCCTCATGTTTGGTAAGCTACTGTAGCAGCAGCAACAACTGGAGACACGTCCACAACAGGCTGCCACCACTTGACTTAATTAGGGGTGTGCCAAAGTATTGGTATCAGCTAATTTTGATTATGTCAATATTGGGATAAAATTGAGTATAGGTATCTGCTTCAGTAGGTTTCAAATAATTTTTATAGTATCAGTGGGTGTTGAGTAATTTTAATGGTATTGGTATTGGCTTAAATTTGAGTATTGGTATTGGCAAAAATTTTGGTATCATCTCATCCCTAGCATTACCAATGAAAGTATTAAATCATCCATTCTTCACCAGTCTCTGTGAAACAAACATGGTCCTACCATGAGCATAAAATAAACACACACAAAATACCATTGCACTCATAAGAGACCTGTGGCTTTTTGTTCTTATTGATGATGTAGAGAAATTTGCTTTCTATTTTCTTGTTTTCTTTTATGATCCTCTATAGAGGTATCATTTATCCTCTGTGTTTACTGTTTATCAATGAAGTTATTTCTGGTGTCTTTAGTTTTTCTTCTTAATTTATTTTCCTTTTATTCTATTACCAGTTTAGCAGCATGTCTTTGGACTTTTTAATTTCATTTATTATTTTACTGGAACATTGTACTACCACTATATACAGCCTCTCCTCACTTAGCAATGTACTTGCTTACCAACGCCTCTGACTTATGAAGGGCTCTGACCAGTATTCATACCTAAATAATGTATATATATTTCAGTATACAATACAGTACTGTATAAGCATTTAAAAATATACCAGAAATGTTATAAATGTTGCAAAGGTGACATTAAAACAATATCAAAGATGGTTGACACAAACTCACTACCATTATAGTGTGCTCCTCACTTCGCGATGAATTCGTTTAATGATGAGGTCTTAGGAACGGAACTCTGTCGTTAAGTGAGGAGAGTCTGTAGTCTAATTTTAGTCTGCTTTTGTGTTTTGAGTTTTAGCATTTCGCCGTCCATACATCTGAAAGTTATTTTCTGGTTTGTCAGTATGGTGCAGTGTGGTTTCCCCATTATGTTAATGCATTCCTGAAAATTATTTGAAACTTTGAGCCTGTTGTCCTGTACACACCCATGTTATAATCAGAAATGTGTTCCTGGGCTATAATATCCCATATTTAATTTCAATTTCTAACAATGAAATTTAATAATGTACAATTCCCATAACAATTCCTTAATATACTCTTTCCTTCCTCTCTCTCCAGTTTATTTTCTCCTCCTCCCTTATCTCTCTCCCTTCCTTTATCACATACTGTTCCTCTTTTCTCCTGTCTGATCTCAGTACAGTACTTTACATTTGCTGTTCACCCTTTCCTAGATTTCCTACCACTTATTATATTCCACCTCCTTCCTGTACTTCACTAAAACAGCATACTCAATCCCCACAATGTACCTTGCCACTGCAACACCCCCACAAAGTACTAAGCTCTCCCACACCACTAACTTTTATGGTAAGAGTATAAGTGCCTGGACATGCATGTGGTGAGGTGAAGGTTTCTGTGTGCTGAAGTTGGGTAGGAGGGATATTGGTAGAGCAAGCAGAGTTGCTGCCTTACTCACCCATTGACCACGTATTACACACGAACAGAGGTGAAATTAACAGGTAGCTTTTCTTACATTGGTTCATAGAACCTGAGCACAGACAGTAGATTTTTCAAATTACTCTCACCTCTACAACTTTTTCATGTGATTTGCATGATTTTTATTAGTTAATTACTTTGAATTTATTTCACTAAGGCAACGTTTCCATATTTCCAGTGTATGCAGTATTTGTTTATTATATGGCATTTTTCCTTGATTCATATTCAGAAAAGTAATGGTATTTTATTAAAAAATTCTTCTTGTACATCAAACAAAATATCAATATACGTAATTGCTAATATTCACATTGCTGTATACCAAAGTTTTGTGTGGCATATAAATGGAACTGTTGCCATATATTTTCAGATATACAATATTTTTGTTCTTTTCTTTTCCATGCGAACTGGCTGAAACTCCGTTCCTGTCATTACGTTAGTAAGAGTTTGTTCCAATAAAATTTTCAAGAGTCATTTTTTAATTTTCAATGAAAATTTATTGCATCACCATGAAAGCAGTTAGACTAAGAGAAATAGGTTAGGACAAATCTGTCCAATCAAGATGAATTAAGATTAAAATAGTATACCTGAGAAGAGAATTTTTTTCTTTCTTCAAAGTAATTGGTCTAAAAAACTGGTGAATTAAGTTCTCTGGCTGTCTAACACAGCTTAGCATGAGACAGTAAATGAAGGAAAATAGTCATAATAAACATGATATATGTTACAAAAAATGCAATTCTAAAAGCTTAGAGATCTCCAGTGAATACTAGAAAGGACTGCCCTTCTAGCATCCAGCCTGTT